GTTTCAGTTGCTTCATCATTCAATACATGAATGACAGAGAATCACAGAATAAAATCAGGTAACCCAGCTGGACTTTCTGAAAAGTTAACTACCTCTTTTCTTCTCAGAAGGGACTTCTGTGGACACTATGTCCTGGGGACCAGTGTGGGAGGCTGCAGTCTATCTTTAGCTGTGGTTACAATTAGTCGAAGGCTAAATATGGCCAAGCTTTCAACCATCCAGCAGGAGCCTTCCAAGGGCCATGGACAACAGGCATGGTGCTTGTGGGAGGATGCCAAGCAGCGTGGGTAAAAGGCATGCAGTTGACAGGGGACAGTGGCCTAGTCCTTGAAGCTGGATACATCTGAGATACTGGGAGGGGGTGAGGGTGCAATACCAAATTACTAAAATTGAAGGAAGCAGAGTTAGCGGCTCCTCAGTGCTCCTGGGCTCACAGAACTCACCATATGGCCAGCCCATCATGAATATCCACTAGCCAGGACATGCTTGGAGGGCATCCAGGGATATTTATAGAGAACGAGGAGTTGGTTTGATAAGACAAACTGCTTCAACATGTAAACAGTTCGTGGCCCTAATACACGCTGTGCTCAGAGTTATGGTGCCTCTTTCTACCTGCCGTGACCTACTCCTAGAACCAGCTGGTAAGAAAGCCATACACTCTGCATTTAAGTCCTTGGATGGTATCAATTGTTAGGGAAAGGGAGATCTTCAGCAACCAGTCTCCCTCGTTTCTTCCCCTCAGTGCCCTTAGCCAGGAGGACCTTTTAGCATCACGTTCAAGGCCTTTCAGAGTGGGAGGGACTCATCATATTCTAAAAAACCTGTTGTTCTGATCAGGGACCCTACGTGTGCAGACAAATACAAGAAAATTCCTGAGTAGCAGCTTCTGTGTCCATAAGGTTCTAGTGGCAGGAACACTTGGTTTGGTGTTGAGAGATCTGGGTTTGAATCCTTACTTAGGAGCTGTGTGTCCTTAGGAAAGTCACCTACCCTCTCTGAGGCTCAAGCTTCTGTAACTACAAAATATTGGTACCAGATCAAATTCCCAGGGCCTTGGTGAGACAGAAGGGCAATGGTGCCTGGCACAGAGGATGCGATCATGGTGCAGGGGTCATAGGGAAACATACAAAGGCATTTTTCTTGTTTTTGTACCCAGAAGCTTCACACTTGCTGGAGACCATACCTCTGTGGGGTGGCAGCTGTAAGCGATGCTAGTGAAGGGGCTGTGCTAACAACCCTGGGTGGTTGTGAGAACACTTGCTGTAGCACACCCCCAATAACACCTTGCTTGTGACCTCGGACCACAGATCCTAGCTGCCTCCCAGAGACAGACTTGCCTACCTACCTGGTGCCTGCCTGGTGCTGGGCTCCGGCCGGGTCCTTCCTTCCAGAGCCTGCTTCCCTCCAGTGTTAGGCAATTGCTTTTTCTTCTTTTTATTTTTTTTTCTAAGCTTTCAGAGCTGTCAGGCTCCATGGGAAATATCTTAGCTAAAGACTTGCCTCAAGACACCCCGATGTTAGATCCAGGAAGAATCTTATCTGAACACATTTTCCCCCTGGCGCTGCTATTTTTAGTGCTCGGCAACTTGTTCAAAGGAGAGTCAGAGTGGAACCAGCAGGGGCTGATGCTCCTTGCAGAGGGGCGGGTGCTCCTGTTCCTTGTTTACCCCAACCGGAGTCAGAGTCGCCTTTGGGCTGGTCAGCCATTGTGTCTTCCAGGCAGAGAAATGTGCCCATGTTTCCAAGTGCCCACATCAGCTACCTGGCTGGCTGCCTGGAAGTCCTGAGTGACGGCCGCAGGTGCAGGACACAGAAGATGGGAACAGAAGGCAAGGAGCACTGCGAGGCCATGTCAGACCCAGACGTTGCTATAAAGCTGTCCCTAGAATTTTCATTACTTCAAAAATGAGGTAAAAGTTCTGAAATTGGATGCTTTTAAACAAAGAAGGCTTGGAACCATTTTATCTTTTTCTTTTGCCCTTTTGCCACTGTGTTTTCAGGTAGTGAGATAAACAACTTGGATTTGCACCTGGATGTGTCAGCTCAAAGATCCCAATGACACTGTGGGTCTGGGAGAGGACTCACTCCCAAGGACTGGCTCTCAGCCTAACAATAGAAAGAGTTCCATGCAGAACACTGAACCCAGGGCAATGCACCCACCTACTCTATGGAGATACACTCCTTGGAGCAATTGGCTATGGGGCACAAGAGAGGCAGCATTCATAGGAAGAGAAAGCTGGACAGACAGGAGTGTATAACTAAGAAGGACACAGGGAGGGGTGGTCACAGGGAAGGGAGGGGAGGAGAGTGGGTTAGGGTTGGGGATGGTAATCACGAGTGAAACCAAATGTACAAGAACTGTTGAATGTAAAACAAATTCTGCTCCCTAAGTTTGTACTCAAAACACAATGAAAGAAAAAAAGAATATAAGAAGCAAACAAAGATCCCAAGGTGAGGTTTTTCTCTCTCTGTTTAAATCTGTTGTCCTGGCATAGCTGCTGCAAAGATAATTGTTTTACTAGAGATACACCGTAAAGCAAGAGCTACTGTTGGGGAGCTGGCTGGTGGAGTGCGCCTGCTTCCACTGGGGTGTCCTCGTGTAGGACAGTAGCACAGCTGAAGGCTTCATGGACCAATAGAAGGGTGAAAGGAAAAGAGTCTCATGGCCATAAACCCAAGCTGGATGAGGGCACCCACACAAGGGCTTTTGAATCAACCTGCCCTCCAATTCAAGCTCTGCATTCACTGTGATCTTGGGCAAATAATCGAACCTGTCTGAGCCTCCATCTCCTCTTCCGCGAGTGGGGTTAACGGAGGCCCTTCCTCTCAGGATTAAGTGCAACAGGCTTTGGTCTTTCTGGTTGCCTTTCCACTGAACAAAATTGCCTTTTGGAGTCAATTATCTTTTGTCTTTACTCAAATATTCTCTCAGAAAGACCAGAGCTGGAGCTCTGGTGGCATAGTACCTCAGGCATTTGATTGCTAACCAGAAGGCTGGCAGTTCAAACCTACCAGCCACTCCTCGGAAGGAAGATTGGGTAATCTACTTCTGTAGAGATACTGCCTCAGAAACCCAAGGAGGTATCCAACTCCATGGCAGTGGTGGTGTTTTTTTTTTTTTTTTGCATTGCGTGGGTTTTAAAAATTAATTTAAAGTTTTTAGTTGAAAGGGGATATCTTGGGTGGCCTAGGCACCCTCTGGCTGCCCACATGTCCCACCACTCCTTAGCAATCTGACTGGCCTGGCCCATAAATAGTGGCTGGTCCTTATAGTCAGGGAGTCCTTACCATGATGTAGAGCATCTCCTTCCTCCGCATGCACTGACAGAAATCCTAAGTTGTCCTCTTGCTAAATGACTTGAGGGCCTGGAGCTTGGCTTTCAGGACAAAGCTAGAGTATATTTCTGCATCCCAAAGAGACTAGGGAAAGCCCCTCAAGCAGGTCACTACATTTCCCAGGGCTCTCATGGCGCCAAAGAGGAAGAGAGCTCAAAATCTTAAGGCAATGGGGAAACTGAGGTGGAACAGTGGCAAAATGGTTGGCTTAATCCTGAAGATTTCTTCCTGATGTCCAAGGTTGCTTCCTGCCAACTGGCCCTAAGCCCTCAGGGTGTCTTTGTCCATGAGAGACCCCAGCTGGGAACCCAACTCTCAGAATGGCTCCACCAGCTGTGACTGTCGGTGACACTTCCTCAGAAGGGCTGCTATGAGGTGTGAGGGCTGAGTGGACCTGGCCCCACTTGGTACACATAAGGGCTCAATCAAAGGGAGGGTAAACACAGAGTGGCTTTGGGAGCCACCTACCCCCATGAACTCAGTGAGTTTGCTGAGCAGCATTTCCATAGACCAACCGCATTCTCTGGGATTTGAACTCTGTTTCCACCCCGCATCTCAGGCACATAGCTGGCCTTGACCTATTTATTGTCCATGCTAAGTGTGGTACCTGTCCAGAGTCAGGTATGTTGATTGTGTGCTATAACATCCTAGCAACTCTCTCCCAAAGCTGCCTGCCTCTCTGAGCTTCTTTCAGTTGATTTTGCTTTTATGGAGGGCAGCATGGCTCTGCTTTGGGGCTTTGTGTTCCTGGCAGGGCAGTGGCTTCTGGGGAAGGAGGGTCATGAGGTGCTTTATAACTGACCTCAGTTTATCTCTTGCCACATCCTCACCACTTACCTGCTGCCTCTATGCTCTGGTTGAACCTTCCTGCTGTTCTTCCAATGGGCTGTACTCTCTTCATGCCTGGCCCTTACTGGCACTGGCACTGTCTCCTCTACCGGGAACACTTGTTCCCTAATAAACCTTTCCCCTTCAGCTCCAGCACCCCCAGCCTGAATCCATTTTTTGTTCCTTCTGAGACCACTATCCAACTTTCCCTGAGAGCCACCTTCTTTATTCTCAGTCTATGATGTTTGGAGGGCTTGATACCTCCCCTTCCTTGTTTCTGAGAAGTCCAAATAACCCAGGCTTGAACAATCCATCAGTAACAATCAGCCCTGAGACTTTGGCTGGAAGGAGGTACTCTCTTTCTACTGGGTTGCTTAGGTAAAACTTTTGGTGGCCATCTTTGCCTCCACCTGGGGAAGCCTGGCTTGGGATGAAGCCAAATCATGGAAAATGAGAGCTGGAGAGAGAGAGATCATGACCAAAACTTTTGTGCCCTGGTTCCAGCCATATCTGAAACTTTTAGTTACATCCACCAGTAAATCATTTTTGCTTAAACTACTTTGACTTGGGTTTCTGTCATTTGTACCCAAAAAGGTACCTCTGACTGACACATATCCCCTTCATCTGCTCAGTTCCATTGCAAATTTATCACAGCTCAAATATCATACCTCCTCCTCCAACCCTGAAGCCAGACAACATCTCACTTATCTCCATGTCCCCATTACCTAGTGGAAGGTGCTGAATGCTGTGGATGGCACCAGAATTGGGCTTCCCTCCAGGCCCACTGCTTCACCCCCTCACCAGCCCCCCACCTTAGTATTCAGAAAGACTCTCACCTCCGTCTTATTCCGAGACAGCACACTGGAATCGATTGGCCCCAGTGACATGTTTGGCAGGACAAGGTTGAGTACTTTTGCAGCAAGGACCTAGCAGGAAGGGAAGACAGGAACTATGAGTATGAGTGCAATCCACATCTGGCTTTCCTCAAATGACAGTTTATAGTATATTAAAGAAAATGACACCCAATCTGAACATCAGCCAGGTTTGTTTCAAAAACTGGGTGCTCAAGGAAGAACCCCAAGGCACTTCCTATCCTGACTCAGACAGGCATTGGCAGCAGCTGGCCCCTGTCCATGTGGGTGAGTGGGAGAGGCAGGCCTCGGGGCTGGCAGCAGCAATGTCACAGCTATTTCTGCTTGCTCTGGACTCTATGTGGCTGTCTTCTCCATAATCACTCATGGCTGCAATTTTGAATTATTTGCAGGAGCTGCCTAGGCAGGCTCTGGAGATACTGAAAATACATGGCTGGAGCAGAACCTCTCAGGTCACCTGGTAGTCAGGCAGGACAATATGGAAGGGTGGGAACAGAGCCTGCTCTTATTAGAGTGTACCTGTCCATCATCTAGGCTTCTCTTGGAGAGAAATAAAAATAGCCACCAGCCAGTGGTAGAGTGAAGGAGACCTAGATCAGCTCCCGGCTCTGTTGCCTAGTGGACTTGAGCAAGGATCTCATCATCACTGAGACTCCATTTCCTTACTGCAAAATGGGGACTTTGACAACCCCCAGAGGACTATGGGGAGGCTAAGCTATGCCATTAGTGCCACAGCACCTGACATGCATTAGTTACTTACTACATGTTCATCCTATTCAGACTTGATTCAGGCAAGCTCCAATCCCCTTGCCCGCTTCTCTCTACATCTTGTGTGTTACCAGGAAAAGTGAGATGGGGACCTCACACCCTGCTCAGAGAGAGGCTGTTTGCATTTCTGAAATGTGCACAGACACTGGGGGATGAGAGATGCTATTTCAAAAGTGAGCTGTGAAATGCTGAAATTAGAATCACATAGAAGTTGGAAGCAGAGACTCTCAGTACACGTCAAGGGCACCTCACACAGCTGGGAGACAGCCCTGCAGCCCCCAAGGCCGGGAGAGTGGGAGGATGGTGCTCACATGTTACTGAGAAGCCATGTATTGGAGTTTTGGGCACTGCATCAGGTGCTCAGCTTCAAATCTCTGCAGCTCCCCTGTGAGGTGGGGTTTACTGTCCTATAACACATGAGGAAGCAGAGGCTCAATAGGAAGGGGAGGGTGAGGTCCAGGTTCAGGCCACACTGGCCTCTAGGCCATACTGCCTTTCTTCCTTTCTCTCTCTGACTGTAATTGAGAGCTCTCACCTTCCCCACACACAATTGCTGATATTCTTGATGACACTATTTCTGACCTTCTTACCTCCCTTCAGACCCAGAGCTGAAAAGTGACCCACTTCCTTAGCTTGTGTGGGCCTGCATGGGATGTAGCCTCACAAGTGTTTCTCAGACCACTAGGAATCAGGTAAGAACAAAACAGGGCCTTGTTACCAAAGGAGCACACAGCCAGGAACCAGTCCTGTGGTTCACATAGTCAGCTCTCCATTCTTCTACAATCATTATCTGTGGTTCCTTTTTTAGCCCAGATGGTTCCTCTGTCTTTAAAAGTCATTACATCCAATGCCTGCTGTCCAAGCAAGGAAAGCTCATTCATGTCAGCTCACTGCCACTGATGCGCAAAGCCCTAGGCCAAGCACTGGCCCTGACTTTGAGGGCCCAACAGTCTAGCACAGACATAGCGGGAATTGGTCCACAGAACCTGGAGCTTCATAGGATGGACATGTTGGGCAGGTTCAAGTGTTGAAGTGGCATGTGGGCCAGCATTACAGGTAAGTCCAGGAAAGGAGGGCTTGGAATTCTAGGAATTCTAAGCAAGGAGTTGATGTTTCAAACATGGATGAAATGTCTGTGGACTCTAGGAATTGAGAGCCCTTCCAAGAGTTGGGATCTGTTTTCAAAGGCTAAAAAAAATGAAGAGAATCTATAACAGATAAGTGTGCTGTCTGTGTGCAGAAGGGCCATGGCCCGTGTTTCACTGCTGCCCACCTGACAGCCTTCACCCAGCTTCAAGGGAGCATGGAGAGGGGACTTAGGACAATAATAATAATATTAATAATAATTCATAACAAGACTTGAGAAATAATGGCCCAAGGGCAACATTTCTAGGAAAAATACCTTAATGTGTACTCCAAAGTTACGTAGAGCTGATTTCTAGACATTCTACTGTTATAAGTGTCTCTTGCCATTGCTCCCTGAATTGAGGCAGGGCTGACAGTGGGTCCTGTGTGTCCTGTCCCACTCGGGACCACAGCGAGGTCGTGTGTGATAGAAAATGAACAGACTCCAGCCTCTGGACCTGGCCATGCTGCCTGCCTGCCCACTGCCTGCCCAACACAGCCCTTTTGAGGACAAGCCCATCACCAGATTAGATGTCCTTGAGCCAGGAGGAGGCTCAGGGCCATGACAGCTCAGCACTTGCCCTGGAACCAAGAATGTGAGAGACCCCATGCAGAGCCCATTCATTTCACTGAGTCCACCGCCAGATTTCTCTTTCCCCAACAAGTGATTTGGAAGCCTATCACCTGATTCCGCATGGACCCAGGCACACAGTGTTGGTCATCTTCACAACTGATCTTTTGTGAAGAGATCTTCATCTTTGAATCTACATTCCTGCCACTGACACCTTCTTATAGACAATGCTTAGTTCCATAAAGTGCTGAGGCCTCTGTCCCCAGGGCTACCAGGAAGACACTGACCATTTAATTGTCAGCTTAGCTAGGACCAGAAAAGGCAGTGCCATGGCCCAACCCAGTTGGACTCTGGTTTCTGAGGGAGAAGAAGGGGTTTGAGAATCATGGAGGAATCTACCTCTAGGAGAGAATGTCAGAAAAACTTATCCTGTCTTCTCTCTTGTCAGCACACTTTCCTTATTCCAGGGGAACATTCTACAACTAAAGGAAGCTTTTAAGAAAAGAGCCCCAAAGGAAAAATAAAAGACAAGAACCACTTCCAGAGAAACATTTCTTCAGAAAATGAATAATGCAGTTCTCTAGGGAGAACTGGAAAATGAATGGAGCTGACTGCCTCACATTTCTCTCCTGGTACATTATGCAAGCTCCCGGTGGGGACCTACTCCCAAAAACACAGACCAGAGAGGAAATGGCAAGAATACATGGGCTGAGGACTGGAGGAGGAAAGCAATGGGCCTGTGGACATGCTCAGCTGTGCACATCCAGCTCAAGGTAGCTGGTACTGGTGGGCGCAGGGCAGGTGAATGCCTGCAACAGGATTGGCCATTGTAACACAACTCCAGTGGCTGATGTGTGTCATAGCAACAAGAATGCTGTTCAATTCCACAGGTGTGAGGAATCCATGTCCCTCCAGGAACATGGTGTGTGGGTGTGGCAGCATTGTTTCCCTGTCTCCATGGCTGGAAGCTGGTGCTAAGTGCTGCGGGTGTCACCTCAGGGGTAGGAGTGCAGCAGGTATGTAAGACTGCTAAAGCCCTGAGTGTGTGGACAGGGAAGAAGAGGAGAAGCCAAGGCAGATATGCCACTCAAGGGACAGATGGAAAAAGAAGCAGCAGCTATGAAGGAGACTTCTGGAGTCCAGGGATTCCTTTGAAATGATCTTTGGCTTCCTGCCTTCTCAGACAGCACTTGGCTTTTACTGTCCTGCTCCTTGAATCCAGCCAGCCAGGTCAATGGGCATGCCCTGCCATGCATCAACCCCTACTTGGTCTTCTAGGGCTCCCTGCTCAGGAGGAGCACTGGGCCATTGTAGGACCTACTGCCTCAGGCAACAAGACTCCAGGCCCTCATGTAAAGTTGGAGGGGCTGGGTACTCTGTGTGAAGTTAGAACACATTTTCTCAGTCCCCCCAGAGAGGGTCTGATTAGATTGGCCTGAAGTGGTGCCTTGTTTTTGTTAAATCTCTCCAGGTGGTTCCAGAGTAAGTCAGGCTTGAGAAGCACTGATGTGTGCAGAGAGGAAGTGTTCCAGACACAATGGCCAGCACAGGGGTGCAGACATCTCCAAGAGGTCTCCTTTTTAAGGATATTTGGATAGCACTGACTATCACTCAGCTTTCTTTATAAACCTGTATAATAAGTGCCAAACCAATTTTTTAACATTAGTCAGCTGGGCAGAGGCCAATCTTTTGATGATGGTAACATCAGGACCTAAAAAATAATTAGAAGCTCACTCTTCCCCACAAAAGACCCAACACAGAGAAGAGAGCCATCACCAGGGCAGGGCACTCCCAGCAGCTACACAAAATGCTTCCCCCTTGCTGCTCTTTTCAGCTTGTTTATTCCACAAGCATGGCTCTGAGTAAGGAGGGGAGGGGTCGAATGGCAAAGAAAGAGATGAGCAGTGTGGTGGCCCAAGCACCTGTTTACAAAGGAAGAAAAGGAAGGAACCCATGGGTGGTGGGATGGAGGGAAGTATCTCACCCATAAAGAATATGGAATCCAAGATACTATCATTCTTGATGCTTTGTTGACCACCTTGATCAAACCCTTCAGAGACTCCTGTGGGAATGTGAAAAGAGCCTTGAACCTAGCTTCAGAGAGGTGGTCCCACCACAACCCTTGGGAGAAACTCTTCTCACCAGGGCCAGGAGCCTTGGTGCCCAAGGGAGCCAGAGGTCAGAATGTAGCCGTGAATATAGGTCTCTGGGCAGCCCAGGAAGTGGCTGCAAGAGGAGGGCAAGAAATCAGACTCAGAGACTTTGGAAACAGGGGCATGTGGATTTGTATCCTTGTACAGGTTTATGAGTCTCTTCATCTATGAAATGGAGATGATAAACCCAATCTCAACCTATGTGTATGGTGCACACTCTTTCTTTCTTTTTGGCTGTGGCCCTGAAAATACTGTTGGTGGACTGAATGAGTGAATGAGTGAACCAATGAAAATGTTACTCAGAGCAGAGACTTCAGAAAAAGTGTGTGAACTGTGGCTCTGTGACAAATGAAGTGCTCACAAATAGAGGCCCAAATTATTTCACCCACAGAAGAGGCCATGCCTCCCACCAATCAATTCAAGAGGCTCAAATGTGG